AGGGATGGAGGGATAGATGGAGGAAGGGAGGGAGGGATGGACAGAGGGAGGGATAGATGGAGGAAGGGATGGACAGATGGATGGGTGGAGGGAGGGATGGATGGATGGACAGACGGAGGGATGGATGGACAGATGGATGGGTGGAGGGATGGATGGAGGGATGGACAGACGGAGGGATGGAGGGATAGATGGAGGAAGGGAGGGATGGACAGATGGATGGGTATGTGGAAGGGCGGGTGGTTGGGCCTGGCCAAGGGTGGAAGGAGGGGCAGATGGGTATCCAGGCGGGTGCCAGATGGGTCTGGCTGGAGATGGACAGATGAACCATCGAATCATAGACTGGTTTGGGTTGGAAGGGACCTTGAAGACCACCCGGTGCCACCCCCTGCCCCGGGCAGGGACACCTCCCACCAGCCCAGGTTGCTCCAAGCGTGGTTCTCAGGAAGGGTGACTTCCCAGACACCAGCAGACATGATGGAGGGAAACTAACACATCTTTTGCCAACAAACACCCGTTTTTCACCGAGGAGATTTGCCACACCACCTTAGGAGCGCTCAGCACCAAAGTGCCCTCCCAGCTGAGAGCTTCCAACCTGTAGGAAACAATTCTATTCCCACCATTTCTGGAGGGAATTCTACTGCAGAGCCACTTCTTCGCCCAAAAAGCCTCAAGGAGGCTGTGCTGCTGGAAGGGATGACACCACCTACCCTTGACTCTCCTTCAGCTGCTCTACTCCAAACAGACAAAGCTGTGGCACAAAAACAGACCTTCTAACAGAGGATCAGCATATTTCCTCTTTATATGTCTGCGAGGCACTGGGCTTGGTCGGAGAGGTGAAAAGAAAGCAACGCAAGGCAGCTGAAAGGGCTTGGTTCCTTGGCTGCCAGCCCAGCCTTTACTCCAGCAGATTTCAAACACCTGTGGAGGCACCAAAAAATTCCGAGAACTTGTTCCAGGGCCTTCAGAGAGTAGTTTTGTGGAGGAGGAGGAAGGGAGGCTGGTCTGAGAACCTCCAGGACCAGCGTGAAGTGGCTGTCCTGGTCTGAGACAAGGACCGGTTCCTGTTTCAGTTGATTCTGGCCCCATAACAAACCCTCTAAAGATCAGGCAAGGCAGCAAACCTGCAGCTCAGACAGATCTCCCGCAAACACAGTTATTGGCAAATGCAACGCACCATTTGTCCTCTCATCTTTCACCAGGCTGTCACTTGTGAGCGATGACTGCGCTGAGAACAGAGCCGGTCCTTCCTTTAGGTAGTGGTTTTCTACACAACCTGAAATTCACATCTCAGCCCGACCCATAATTTATGGGAAAGTCAATTTGTCATTGACCTGGAGGACAAGAGCAAGGTTGGGCGTGTGTGAGAGCGGGGCAGTGTCCCTTGCACAGGCCACAAGCCCTCTAGTGGCATTCTGTGGCCGTGTCTACCCCATCTTCATCAGGTCTGCCCAGCAAGCCCTGGCCCCCAGGCTACAGGAGACACAGACCTGCTTCAACCCATACTTCTAGTCCAGAGTGGATGTTGTCATGCCATGCCAAGCCATGCTGTGCCATGCCAAGCCATGCTGTGCCATGCCATGCCTTGTCGTGCCGTGTCACATCACGTCATGTAGACTTTCGGCCAGGCGTGATGGGCACCAGCAACAGAGCCGTTCAGAAAACGTGGATCGTGGGGTCCAGCTTTCCGTGCTGGCGTTGAAGAGCCGTTTAGATGTGGCGTTGGGGGATACGGTGTAGGGGAGAACTTTGCGGAGTGGGGCGGACGGTTGGACTCGATGATCCCAAGGGGATCTTCCAACCCAGACGATTCTGTGATTCTATAGTGGGATAGCTCAGGGGACTGGAACGCTGTCATGGAGGGCTGTGTTCTCTTTAGCAAAGACAGACCAGCGAGGAGAGGCGGTGGAGTCGCTCTTCATGCGAGAGAGCAACTGGAATGTATCTCGCTCTCCCTGGGGGTGGACGAAGAGCGAGTTGGGAGCTCATGGGTGAGGATTAAGGGGCAGGGCAATATGAGAGACGCTGTTGTGGGTGTTTATTACACCCACCTGGTCAGGGTGGGGAAACTGATGAGGCCTTCTGCAGACAGCTGAGAATGGCCTCACCACCACAGGCCTTGTTCTCATGGGGGACTTCAACTACCCTGATACCTGCTGGGAAGGGCACGCAGCCGGGCACGGGCAGTCCAGGGGGTTCCTCCAGTGCACTGGTGACAACTTTTTGACTCAGGCGGTGGAGGAGCCCACGAGGAGAAGTGCTCTACTGGACCTGGTACTGACAAACAAAGAGGGGCCTGACTGCTGGGGGGCAGGGGAGGACAGGGGCCTGCGGGGGCCTCAGGGGCCTGCGGGGGCCTCAGGGGCCTGGCTCTGGGGGTGGAGGAGCCACTGGGCCTATAGGGGCCATAAAGATTACAAGGGCCTGGCTCTGGGGGGGGGGGGAGCCACC